GGAACATTTGACCTCCGCGAGGAGGATCGTAGCAGCATCATTCGTGGCTTGAACTCCCCGGACAGTGCTGTCATTCAGGAGGCACGGAAGAAGCTCAAGTCCGCCCTGAAGAACGGCTACCACTCTCTTCTTGACCGCTATGAACTCGACCTTCAATACAGGGTTCGTATGCTTGAGGTGGGCCGTCGGGAGGCGGACATGCTCCGCATGGAGTTGAGCGCAAATCTCGTCTTGGCTGCTCCAAAGCAGTCGCAAGCCCAGCGCACTCTGGGAGTTGGCCTTGGATCAACTTCGGAGTCGCGAATCGCAAGGCTCGCGTATATCAAGACAGAGTTGGAGTTCCTGCCCAACGAACTTCAAGATGCTCTTTCCTCTCGCTGGATCATTATGTTCCAAGGGATGCCTTACAGCCCAAGAGCCTTCATCAACGTGGTCTTTGAGCAAGACAAGCCTCGCAGCATTGGTTGTTGGAATGGCATCATCCATCTGCGAAGCAACACGTTGGACGACCTCCGCAACGAGATGGACTGGATTTTCAGCCAGAATGAGCGGTATGCACGTAACTCGATCGAATTTTCGAGGAACGAGAGCAGCAAACACCTTGCTCGCAATGCCGCTCGCTATGCCGAGACAAGAGCTCCCGCCGCCCGCGAGGGTGAGCATTGGAGCCAAGGCAGCTGGCAGAATTGGTCCGGATGGAGCGGATGGGACAACAGTAGCGGTAGCTATTCAACTTGGCAGTGGCGCTGAAAGCGCAACTGTCATGGTTTGCGTGTAACAATGGTTCCCCTGACCTTCTCCCTCTGTTGTGTTACCGTTTGACTGCTTTGTGAAAGGCCCCTTTAACACGCAGAGGGGGGTGAAGAATTTGATCGGTCAATATGGGGTTTTACATCCATTGCATCCGCAGTGTGGCTGTTCAAGCGTAAAAATGTGCGAGCAGCGCACTTGGACGGTTTGTTGTTTCCCTTTGGGCCCCAAACCGGTAACCCTTGAATCTATAGAACGGAGCCAAGCAGCTCCCCTTGTTGAGCTTTTTTGTGGGTTTAGAGGTAGGGTTTCCTACATGTGTTTCAGCTTTTTAGCTGATTTAGTGTTGGGGTTCCATTTAACCCAAAGTTAAACACTTTTCGCAGATCTGAGGACAGCCCAGGTTTGCTTCATGCTTGTGGTTGAATCTTTTACCCAATTAGAGTCCTGCGACTCACGGAGCAGGGGGTGCATCAAAGCAACTCAATGTTAGAATCGCAACATCAATATGTCTCATGTTCACTGAGAATGCTCAATCAAATTATATGTTCAGTCTATGCGCTTGTTCTTGGCTAGTGATCATGCACAGTACTGAGCCGCTAAAGTACCGCCCCGCCAAATGGCCACGGTTCCGAGGTCGATTGACGTCTGGTTCGCTGTTTGGTGTGGAATGCAGCAATGCACAAGTTGCATGATAGTGTTTGGGGCTCCTGGCTGGGACATACTTTTCACGTGTGCCTGTGGCTGCCCGAGGTGTGGCAGGGCTGCCTGGCGCGTGCCGGCGGCGGCAGCACCATGGCGCGGACTTCCTCCGCATGGATCTTGGACGTGCTCAACGGCAGCGGCCTCAGGCCTGCAGGATTGGTTTGGGTCCAGGTAGAACCTGTTCGAGAGCTCGGATCCACTGCTCCAATATGCAGTGCTTCTTATTGCAAGAGCCTAGAGCCACGCTGAGGCGCTGTCGGCACGAAAGCTGGCCCCGGACGTTTGGAGCTGCCGCGCCCGGAAACGGGAGGAGGCGCTTGCTGGACTGCAACCCTCCATGAGTCCCGGGAGAACGAATCAGGGTCTACAGAAATATTAGCGATTTCTGCTGCTTTGCTTCGCGCATCAACCGCTTTGACCAATGAATGCTCGCCACACTTGACGACGGGGATGGTACAGTACCACGCTTATTTCCGCAAGACCCGGGGCTGCGGCAGAGAAAGGATGCCCGTGCAAAAACAGGCCGTGATCAGATATTAAAAGGGGCAAAGTTGATGGCAAGAGTATCAGAGTCAGACCTAGATTGCGCAATGTGAACAACTAGGCAAGCATTTCGTGAAACTCCAATATGTTTTCAGGTTTTAGACTATGTTGAGCTACTTCTTTGGGTTTCAAAACGGCTATGTTGCTTAAGTTGTGACTTGTCGACATTGATTTGCCTTCAACCTAAGGCTTATTGCAAGACTACTGCGCTTGCCAGTGAAAACTAGGTGACCAGGTGTTCTTTCACACCGATTGCATCTTTGGCAGGCTGTAAGTCAGAGCAACACGAAGTTGTTTTTGCACTTTTGGAGGAAGGCGTGCATTTGCGGCGCTTTGGTTTTCCTGCTGTATCTTTGCTAGAGGGCGATCGCAGCAGCTCGTATGTTTGCCAAGCGTGCGCATACGCCCAACTATACAGGGCAGGGTTGGCTTTGCCAGTCTCAGAGCTCAAGCCGCTTGTGGGCACCGTCAGAGGTTTTGCAGGGGCCCCATGCTTCACTTTGTTCTGCAAACGTCTCTCTGCTTGAGGATAGGTACTTGCTGTCTTGGAGCCTCGTTGCTGCCCTTGGCGCTCTCTGGATCCACGTTTTGCTGTCTTCTCTCCTTCGCCGCGCCCTGCATTTGCGCATTTCTTTCTACTTCTTTGCTTGCGGCTGAGTTTGTGTTCACCCAGGTCCCCGGCTCTCTCTACCTGCGGCCAAGACCCGCGTTTGGCAAGCAATGCACGAAGTGGAGACCTTGAAGAAGCAAGACAAAGCCTGAAGAGCGCAAGCCCGACGGCTGCCGGATGGCACAAGAGTAGCAGCACGTAGGCAGTGAAGAAGGAATGCTGTTCCCCCCGCTCGACCCACTCGCCCACCTCCCCAACAGACAACATGCAAAAAAACAGCAGTTTCACAGCGAGAGGGCCGCCCTCAAAAAGCTATCCTGCCTAACTTGTAGTGGTGAACGCGCTCTACCCTTTAGTGGGCACAAGGGGAATAATTTATCATGGATGGGTGATGGGTGGCCGAGTTTTGGCCATTGCTCTCTCTAGAAGCCAGATGACACGCAACGCGACCCATGCAGATCGATTGCTTCAACCATTTTGCTGACGGCGCCCTCGTGGCAACCTTTTCAGAGCGATGGCTGTCTGAAAGGTAAACCGAAACTGAAATCCTGGTCCTTTTTGAGTGTGCCTCAAAGTAGGGGACCCATCAAACAGACCTAGAACTTCCTGCGGCGGATTTTTCTGCCGCAACGCATTGCGGCATTCCAGAAAATCAGCCGCAACCAAAACAAAAACACCGCAACAAAAAAAACATGCCGCAACACCGTTTGTTTTCGGGAATTTCCGCCGCATTCCCGCCGATGTCTGCCGCAAATCTGGGGGTGGAAAAAACTTCTGCCGCAAAAAAACAACCGCAACTCAGAAGAAATGCCGCAAATCCAAAAATGCGCCGTTTTTGATTTGCGGCAGAAATTTAGGCCGCAACGCTTACGCTGTTTGTTCTCCCCTTTTCCAACCCACGGAAAAAATCGCCTCAAAAATTATCCACGGCTTTGGTTCACAGGCGGCTTTGAGCCAGTGGCCCGGTCCTCCTACCTGGCCACACGCCTGGAGCCGCTGGAAAAAGGGAACGTGCGGCTGGTGCTGGAGGAGACCCAGGAGCCTTCGGTCGGGTTGAACTCCGTAGATGGTCGTGGGATTTGTCGTGGGAAATGCAAAGTTCAGATTTTTTGTGGCCAATCCACTCAGGAAGGGAGTTGGAGAAATCCAGACTGATCGTGCCCCTAAGCATTGGATTGCCCGTATGCTTACATTTTGTTCAGCCGGCCTAGGCCTGCTCAAACGATTGCTGGTGCCCTCCAGTGTTTGAGACATGAGCCCCTGACCCCGGCGCGCAAATTGCCAGGCAGGGGCAGATGTCCGCGGCCAACGAGTGGAGAGGCTGCCTGCGAAGGATGCAAAGTCCATGAACCTGAGCCTGGGCTGCACCGGTTTCCTGCGTATGTCTCAGCAGCTGTTGGAGACATAGACCTGCTTCTCAACGACATTGTGCCATGGGAAGTGGAGGGCCGATTTGATATTATGTTTAAGCATCTTGTAGAATTGATGTCGGACGTTGCTTTCTCCAGGGGTTGGACCGTTTGACAGTTTCTTGATTTCGGGCCCTGGACATGTTTGTTCCTTACAAACGGGACACCATGTTGGTTGGCTGCCTGTTGGTGCCCCGCTTTTGACGGGGCTTCTGATTTAGCTGCACCTCACACTTGAACAGTGCTGGTTGGATACAGTAAGAAGATCCTTCTAATGAGTTTCGACATATGTTGATTCTGTTGTTATTTTCCTATCAGCTTTGTTTTGGGACTGACTTGTACCCCTTGTTGTGTTTGGCTTGGTTGGGCCTGGTGCTGCCTGCAAGGGGTGTGTGTGCCCTGCCTGCCCGACTTGCCTTGTTTTCTTGCTTGTCCGGGTTTTGGCAGTACTCTTTGTCGCTCAAGGAGCTGGGACTGGCTTCAGGCAGGGAACGGATCCGAGCCGCTGTGAGCTTTTGCAGAAGAGCCAAGGCCATTTCTCCACGCGAAGTATTTTTTTGTGAATGGCCGCGGGGGGATGCTTGATGGAACATGAGTCTGCACCAAGGTTATGGGCTGCAAGTCATGGCTCATTTCACTCAGCATTGACACGTGGAGACGGGCGTCATGATGCCTGGATGGATGCGGAGCATTTACATCAAGGGGATGCAAGGGGAACCTGTTGTTGGCTCTCCAGGTGTTTTTACCCTTCAGCCTGCAAAAGATTGACCGCGTCACCTTCGGCATCATGTCCTCAGAGCAGGCCAGGAGTGTATCCTGCTCTTTGCGGGCGTGGGCCAATGAACATCCGCACTCAAGCTAGTTTACTGTAGCTGATTTCTGATTTCAATTTTTCTCAGACTTCTGACTAGCAGACGGAATCATCAACCGTTTGCAGGCATCGTTACCCTCAGGTGTCAGCTGCTTTGGCAGAGCAGCCCCTGATGCCTTTGACACGGGCGAAGCTGGCCATTCCCTTCGTAGGCCCTTGGCTCAGTTTGCGGAGGGCTAGGCCGACGACGCATCAGAATATGTGGAACACGTGCGGATGCGTGCCGCAGTTGCGAAAGGCAGTAGGCCGAGATGCCTGAGTCAGCCACAGATGTCTGAAGCACGTGCTAGCTGGCAGGCAAAGATGTGCCGTCACAGTCCAGTGAGTTTGCGCATCCGGATGTGCCTCAGCTGAATGTCATCAGCATAAAAAGGGCATGTCCTCCTGTGCATGGGTCGGCTTTGTGTAGGGGTCAGTGCTCTCAGCTCGGCAGCCGAGGTGGTGATCGGCTTGACCATCCTGGCTTACAGATACGAGGGCCTGAGGCGTGAAGACTTTGACGAAGTTCTGGGCTGCCTGGATGCATTGTTTTCAGTTGGGATGGTTTGGGATGTTTGCAGCTGAGGCATGCTGTGCGACCGCTTGGAATCGGAGGCTGGAGCGGTGCTTGAGAGGCGCGGAAGGGTGTCAGCGGTGGCCAGGTGTTACAAACCATTTCGCTGTTGGCCAAACCTTCAAACATCATGGGCGACATGTTGGGTCCTGGTTGCATTGTGCTGCATGTTCATTGTTGGCCACTGTTCTGTCATGTTAAAAACCCATGAATTAACCCTCCCTCCCTCCCTCCCTGCGCCCCCAGAAGGTCAAATCTGAGATTAAACAGGTTCTGGGGAAGAAGGTGGTTTGCGAAGAAGGTAGTTGTAGATTGCCGCTCTGCGGGCTTAAGAGTGCATCCTGAAGTTAGATAGAGTTTTACTTTGCCGGAATTGATATCAATGTGTTTGGGCATGCCTTTTTTTCAACCTTGGACCCTTTTTTTTCAACCTTAAGCTTTTTTTTCTACCTTGTCCCCTTCTTTTTCAATTTCAGGGTCGGCACTTCATGTTTTTTCAACCTTGCCACACTTTTTGTTCACCTTGTTTTTTCTCTGAATCAACCTTGATTGCATTTTTTCCAACCTCCCCACCTTTGTTTTCCACCTTGATTCCTTCTTTTCGAGCCTTCCCATCCCCTCAACGGGGCATGGCCCGTCACCCCCCCTTCCCCTGCACCTTTTTTCTCTTCGCAAGTCTTCCCCTGCGCCGGGTTCCTTTTCAGCCTGGAAGCTACCCCCTTCGCAGGGCTCTATCCCCTTCGCGGGGTCTATGCCCTTTGCGGGGCTCTTTCCCCATCGCGGGGCTGCATTCCCTTCGCGGGGCTCTTCCCCTTCGCAGGGCTCTTTCCCCTTCGCGGGTCTGCATTCCCTTCGCGGGGCTGCATTCCCTTCGCGGGCTCTTCCCCTTCGCAGGGCTCTTCCCCCCTTCGCAGGGCTCTTTTCTCTTCGCGGGGCGGCATTCCCTTCGCGGGGCTCTTTCTCTTCGCGGGGCTCTTTCCCCTTCGCGGGGCTGCATTCCCTTCGCGGGGCGGCTTCCCCCTTCGCGGCCCTTCGCGGGGCTGCATTCCCTTCGCGGGGCGCTTCCCCTGCGCGGATGTTTTTTTCTTCGCAGGGCTCTTTCCCCTTCGCGGGGCTGCATTCCCTTCGCGAGGCTCTTCCCCTTCGCGGGGCTCTTTCCCCTTCGCGGGGCTGCATTCCCTTCGCGGGGCTGCATTCCCTTTGCGGGGCTGCATTCCCTTCGCGGGGCTCTTTCCCCTTCGTGGGGCTGCTTTCCCTTTGCGGGGCTCTTCCCCTTCGCGGGGCTTTTTCCCCTTCGCGGGGCTCTTTCCACTTCGCGGGGCTGCATTCCCTTCGCGGGCGTGCATTCCCTTCGGGCTGCATTCCCGTTTGCAGGGCTCTTCCGGGGCTCTTTCCCCTTCGCGGGGCTGCATTCTTCCCCTTCTTTGCGGGGCTCTTTCCTTTTGCGGGGCTCTTCCCCTTCGCGGAGCTCTTTCCCCTTCGCGGGTCTCTTTTCCACTTCGCGGGGCTGCATTCCTGGGATGCACCGGGGGTTTGTTAGAGTTAGTAGGACATTGGGGCAAAGATTTATTTTTTATTAGCAAATGCTCACTAGTTAGCTAAGGGCGTAAGTTAGGGGGAAAGCTAAGAGGTTAGCCAGGGGTTAGCTAAGTGGTTAGCTAAGTGGTTAGCAAAAAACATACTAGGTTTATCACATTTGGAGTGATGGTCAAACATATGATTTATTGTTTATTTATTCTGGCTTGTTGGCAGCAATTTGTTTAGACTCGCCAGAGCATTTTGAGAAAATAGATAAAGGCTTTGGCAGTGCTGCTCATCATTATGCAAATCAAAGCTGAGCATGTGCATTTATTAAAATGGATAAGCCATATGAGCTCATGATACAAAAGCTCATGCGTGACCAGTCAAGGCAAGCTCATACTGCTCATAAGCATTATTGATGAATCATAAGCCAGGTGGCTACCACGACATGCAATCTTCATGGAACATGAGCCAGATGGCTACCATGACATGAATTTCATTGCGTGTGTCAGCACCATCTTGGTTGTAAGTTTTAGCCCGGCTGGATACCAAGGACCTGCTCATCCAACAAGGCTTCACCATTGCAGTTAACTGTTTGCAATGAAAGCCAGAGGTTCAGTACTCACATGGGACCTATATACTGTCAAGCTGAGGAAAGTTCATCAAACAAGAAGCCTGCACAAAAGCCAAGCAAACACCAAGCTTGAATGACTAGCCCTGTGGTTTGCTGAGAAGCAACTGACAAGCAACCATTAATTTGTTCAATCCATTCAGCCAACACGCGCCCACCTAGTGCGAAAGCGGTCAAACCCTTTTTGTCCTTGATGCAAAAGGCTGCAAAGTGCGCATGTCAAACTGTACAACTCCTACACATGACATCTTAGTTCACATGTTAAAGAGTTCAAATGCATGACTTCTATAGTCAACCTGTAGCGTATTGGGTATTTCTACCATATGGAATGCAGATTCCTTGCACCCCCTTGGTAGAAATGGCATGCCATGCTATGTGGCCCGGGATTCAGCCACAAAGCTGACACTTCTGAATTGATCGCACTCCCTTGCGACCTGAGATGGCTCCACAGCCAACACCCAAGTGGAACCTATCTCCTGTGCGTGACAAAATCACAGACTCAATCTTCTGGATCTTTTAGTGAAACTTCCTGCTCTGCCAGGTTCGACCTAGCTGGAACAGTCCAACACTGCAGATGCATAGCACCATACTGATGTTGAGAGCCAAGCTAACAAACAACAGCTTAAGGTACCAATCTGCGGTGTCACCCGCAACACTGTGTGCCACCTCCATCCTTGACGTAAGGTGTCACCCTTTTGTTGCGTTGCACACTACTGTGGTCCGCGCGCAGGCTGAGCTTTGAGCCCATGAGTGGTTTCCACGGTTTGCACGCGTCCGGTGTGTTGTCCGTCTGTGCATGACTGTACTCACACTCGTCATGCCGTGTTTTGAAACATGTTTGTCTAAACCTGCCTGAGTCAAATCAACAATGCCAAGTCTCTCACGCGCAATCCTCAGGTCTTCTCCTGTCACCAAATGCTTCGTGAGCGCGTCCGCGGGATTCTGCTTCCCGTCAACCTTCGCGATCGCAACCTGCTTCTCTTTCACGAGTTCCTGGATGTACAAATGCCCTACAGCAAGATGTCGCATCTTTCCTGCTCCTAATTTCTTTGCTGCTTGCAATGCTGCACTTGAGTCACACCAAATCCTGGGCATTTCTACTTCCATTCCAAAATCTTGTTCACAGAGATTCTTCACACGCACTGCCGATTGTGCGCAATGCGTGAGACTTCTGATCTCCGCCTCTGCACTGCTCGTCGCTGGAGTTCCTTGCTGCGTGTGACTGCCTGTCTCAATCACAGTCCCTCCTAGAACTAACACTTCTCCACTTGTGCTCTTTCTGCTTTCCTCGTCACCAGCCCAATCTGAATCACAGTATGCATGAACTGGTACTGGATGGTGTCGGTCCACTCCACTTGCCAGTGTCGTGGTGTGTCCACATTCCAGTGTCCCTTTCAAATATCTGCCGAGTGTTTTGAGATTCTGCCAGTCACATAGTCGAGGGTTTCGAATCCTCTTTGCTAGTTCTTTCACTGCAAACTTGATGTCACTGCGATCCTGTGAAAGGTAAATTGCACTGCCCACGCAACTTGCATAGGTTTCCCTTTCAGCTGCACTTAGCTCCTGGTCCTGCTTGAGGTCGAGCTTCTTTCCTGGTACTGGGCTAGGTTTGCAATCCTCCAGTCCAAGTGCCTTCAAAATGGTTTGCGCATGCCTCTCATGTGGCTTGGTGATAATAGCCCCCTCAACATTAATTTGGGTTCTTCCCAAAAATTCGGGGCTGACTTTACTGCCAACATCAGGGAATTCCAAGTGGCCCATTTTGAGCTTGCAACCATTCCCCGGAAATTGAACAGTAAGCAAATCAATCGTCGATGTGGTCCACACATATCAAAATCGTCGATGTGGTGAATGAGAACGGTTCCGGTGAGTTCACACCGATACACACAAGCATCTAGTTTGCCCCTCTTGAAGCGGTATCTCCCGGAAACCTTGTTGGTGAGCATCTCCTCAGGTCGATCCCGGTATTGAGCTGCTGCAGATTGTCTTCCATAGATGTTGCCATCAACCTGCCAAATGAGCTCCTCACGAGGTACATCTTTGAGGTACTCCTGAATTTCCTTTTCCTGGCTCAAAATCCAGGTGTCATATTCTTCAAGCCATTCCTTGGGTGGCCTCATGAAAACAGGTTGTCCCTGCTTGTCACCTCCATCTTTGGCAATCAGGAACGCTGATGTCAAATCTGCCTTCACACGTGGAAATTGATGCAACAAACTGTAAACTTCAATGATCTTGCATGTCACTGAACTAGTGTCGGACAGAAATTCGTGCCCTGCTCTGAGCTGAGTCGTTCCTCAGGGCTCTGCTTCTTCTTGAAGTCTTGGCACGTCAACCTTGCTTTGCAGATTCCTTCGGACACTTTGTCAACCCATCGGTGTCCAAACACTGTCAAGTCCTTTGGCAATTCGCGTCTGTCTCTCACTGTAAATGCCTTGAATGTTTGCTCAAGTTTCCTAATCTCATCAAGCCGTGCCTTCTTCATATCATCGGCCTCTAGCATGATGCTGTCCATCCAATCCATGACATTTGCAATGTTCTGCAAACTTGCAGGTTCCCTTTTCAAATATGTCTCAAAAGTGCTCTCAACAGTTTCCAAGTCTTTCTCTAAACCATGATTCTCTCCAAGACGCTCTTTTACCGCATTCTCCCTGCAGCAATCAAACGCGTTGATCACATCACCTTGGGCGATGTTCGAAATCATGTCTTGTGTCACTACGGAAGGCGCCGTGCCCGGAAAAGTTCTGAGCAGATGGAAGCTGAGGCGGAACGTTCTCCGTCGACGAAGCGGAAAGCCGAACACTACAGAATTCACTCGGAGAGTGAAAGCTCAAGCTCATCTGGTTCAGCAAGCAAGGAGGT